AATGCCTTGTTCTCTTGTCATGCTTTTTAGTCTCTTTACAAACTTATGACTGCTGGGTTTCAAACTCTTTATTTCTAAAATTTTTGGAGACCTTCCATCATTAAGCTTGTGCATATTCAGTTAGTTATGTTTTTAAAATTACAAACACCTGTGTATATATCTTTGCACTTTGTGTGGCTTTTTAATAATACTTGGTTCTTCAGGTGGTTGTTTCTTTAGAGCATGCACAATTATATGTGGATTGTCTAATCACTGACTTGTGCTGAGATTGGATATTGCATTTTTAACATGTCAATCGCTTTTTTTCATCTATTAAGATTATCTAGTTATGCTTTATTACTTTTGTTGTTTTCCTTTTTTGGTGAATTACTTCCCGTTCTTGATATCAACATCTCCTTTTTACAATTGAGTTCGTTTTCTGGTTGATTTCATTTGGGTTCATATGTTTTTTTTCTTTCAGTTATATTGCTTCTGGCACTTATATTATACTTGTAATTCATGATTTGTGTAGATTTCTGTGGATGGTGAGGATTGGTGGTGGTGTTTTTCCCTGTAATAAAGGAACCTGATTACCTGGTCAATGGAGAGTATCGTGTAGATAAAGGGGCTGCTCCCAAGATGTTGAACTGTCTAATGTAAGTTTCTTGGCACTGCCACATGGTCTTGCCTCGATGTATTTATAAATTCTGGATGCACGCAAGTCTACTCTCCGTTGGAATTAACTTTTATTGGAAAAAATCATATATAACCAAGTTGGTCTATCTTTGTCAGGTACAAGCTGTGTTATTATCGCTTTGGGGAGCTGACAACAGAATATGCAGACAGACCACCTGGGTAAATGCTATAACTTTGTTATCACCGTTGCTATTTTCATATCTCTGACTCCACAAATTTTGGGCCCTAACTAATGAGGCACCCCATAATCACGTGCAAATGAGGGATAATGGACTACGCAGTTTCTGATGGGAATAAATGATGCAGGACAATCCATTGCGTGTAGTTGGGAGGGTGTTTGGTAGAACAAAACTATGGTTTTAAAAGTATTTTTATGGTATACGAAGTAAATATGTGGAGGAGTTTGCTCAATTTACAGAAAAGTGCTTCTGAGGTTACCCAAACACCCCCTAAGTACTGTTGATTATTGCTAGTAATATCCAAACTTCAGCCTTATATTAAACTCCCTGAAAGTTCATAACTTTGTGCATCCTGAAACAATGTAATGTAATCCCTAGCCGCAAAGTGTTCTTCATAGACCTTTTCAACTCAAACATTCTTCATGGCGTGCTCTCAGTTATGTAAATCCTGTTTTATATTTATGCTTCTTGGATTGGCAGGTATGATCGTGCAAGAGGAGTTGAAATTGGAAACAAAGACATAAAGCTGGAGTATTGGAAGAGGCATTCACTACACAGAACTGGATAGTTCGTATTTATAAAGTAAAACCACCTAAAAACAGGTGGTAAGTCTTGCCTACGATTCCTCTCCCAAAGGGGGGGCAAAAAAAGGATGGAAAAAGTCAAATGTACTTTTCTCTGCGGGAACTTGTAGCATTTTAGTAAGCATGAGAGCCCAAATACTGCTGGCTATTTATATCCAGACCTTTTTTTTTTTTCCTTTTCATCTGCATTTGTAGAATTCAGTTCAGGTAATGTAGTGGAATCCTAACTTCACTTTTTCATGCATATGTTAATCAGTTCTTCTAATCTGTGGAATCATTTCTTTCTAAAACTTTGTACCCCCGACGGTGCTTCTATGTTGCTCAATTTAACCTATTTGATTCCAGAAGGGCAATCTTACGTAAGGAAATTCAATGTATGTTGAATGAATTGAGTGGCTAAAACCGGTTTCATTACTTCAACGTGGAGATAAGCATCTTACACAGCCAAATTGTTTCCGCTGGAATCAAACTAGAATGACGTTACGTCATTTGATGGCCTTTTTTGCTTTCTTCTTCTTTTTCTTTTTTTTGGGTGTTCATAAGTGGAGGATAAAATGATGTTAGATATTTCATTTTTTGGAAGTACTTCTAGCATATTGAAAAATAGTATCATCAATGACCTAAAGCCGCATTGCAACTTTGCGTCAATGGATCAAGATCTTCAAGTTCGGATCAAAATCTGGTCTGAGCCTCACTGCGCATGTTTGAAATCCTAATAAACTATTCCTCATCCTTAATCAACGCTTAAAACAATTAAGTAGATTAAGAAAGTTAAATTTGTTAATGATGTTTTTTTTTCTAAAATACCTTCAACATCTTACTTAATTTTCTTATTCTTCTAATATATTATTATTAGAAGAATATTAATAGAGTTAATTTGAAAAGAAAATGATAAACATGTAAAATAATTTTTACATATATAACCAATTAAACTCCACAGTTACATCCTCAAGGACACAAGGAGTACAAATCTGAAATGAATGAAACTAGAGAAGCAGAAATACCATTTTAAACTTCGGCATTTTAAGATAGTAAATAATGTACTAGATAAAGCTAACATTTTTCATACTTGATCAACCTACTTTTATTTTTTATTAAAAATATCCCACTAGATCTCATTCAAACCTGAATTCATTGTTCACAAATAACCATGATCAATGCCGGTGGAATAATTAGTCGGATTCACCAAATACGCAGCGCGCACGCACCCCCACACTCACACAAATATCAAAATGTTACAGCTCAATTATCATAATGTGCAATGCTTACATAAAAGGTCTCCTAAAGAAAAATAAAAATAAAAACCTTAATACATACAGAACAATTCAACAAGAATGCCGCGATAAGAGAAGTATGACCTGGACAATACGAAACTCTTCAACCCGTAAATGAACTCTTAACCCAAGGTGAAGCTACCATTATGCTATTTTACACTTGATACAAAACAGTAAAAGAGTCCTTCATTTGCCAAGTTTTCCCAGCAGCAGCCTCGGCAGCATCACTTTATGGGAGGTCATTGGCACCTTGTTCTTCCGCGCCTGAAATAAATATCCTAACTGTGTGTTTTTCTCTTTCCTTTATGCTCAGGCTTGGTAGCCCAGAACATTTAATCTGTTAGCTATTAACGTTTGTGGTGTCAAAAAATAGATTGCATACAAGGATGGAAATGAGTTGTCCTAGTCACGGGCAGCTTTGTTCCTGCGCCCGGATATTGGGATAGGCAAGCCATTGAAAATGGGACTAGCAATGGCTGCACTTGAGAGAGCTTGCAAGTCTGGTTTCAAAGTCCATCTTCCAGTTGGCCAGACTGTGCCTGAGTTACTCTTTTCCTGATCTTTGAGGCTTGATGCACTTAATGATTTACGCACTCCAGAAAGCACATCAGTTATTATAGACTCCCCAAGACCCATTGGAATAGAATCCAACCATCCCGACTCAGTCTCAGGAAACAACACTGCCCGACTGGCTGACTTCGGCCTCGTGGCCAAACTCTTTCCTGCGGAAGAAAAGGCACTGCTTCCACCACTAGTTTCTTGTTTTAAAAGCCTGTCAGGAGTATCAGCACCATTATCAACTTCGGCCTTCTGACGTCTACGGACAGATTTCTCATCAGATTTATCACCTCCCCCATCCTCAATCTCTGCATAATACTGAGTCGCTCTTCCATCCCCATTCAGTAAATCATATTCAAAATTTCTTGACCTGTGATTTTGGTTTGATGGCATCTCTGAAATTGGTGAGGCTTTGGGGAGCCAGTCATCTCTAAGCTCATCTCCACTAGCAGATCTATAAACTGCCAATTCCGTTTCTTCATTTCGACCCTTTGGATTTGAAGATTCAAGTCCATAGTATGCCTGTAGAGAAGCCATAGCTGAAGCAGTCCTCTGTCGGGGTGCTTTCAGCCTTAAGGACTGGAAAGGTTCCTGTGTGCTAGATTGACCTGAATGAGGACGTCTCTTTTCAGGACTGTAACGTCTGCAATAAAATTTCAGCAAAATTTTCAAAAAGAGAAAAACAAAATCAGTAAAATGAATTTCCAAGGTTCAGAATAGATTTCAGTACAGTAAGTTGATAATTGATTTTATGCTATCTGAAACTAAAAAGGACATAGCTATCTGATGAACCATTCCATTACCATAAGCAAAATTCAAGAAGAAAATGAATTTTTCCTCGTCCTAGAATATGGAAAGCAAATAGCAAATGTAAATAAAATTTGTAGAAGCGTATCAAATTACACCTAGAGCAATGTAATATTGTTCAGGATGCCGGTAGGCAAAGAACAAACTTGTGGAAAGGCATAGTAAAATTCTTTTATAGTTCCTGAGATCAGTACACCACCACAGAAAACATGATGGCCCACCATTTTTTCTACCCTACATTAAGCATTTTAGCACCCAGTGTTGATATTGATTACAATCCAAAATACAAAGAAAATCTGGCTGGTGAAATGCCAACACGATCCCTGAACTAAAAATACAAATTAATTTTTAAACTTCTTTGTATAAGTTAAATAAAAAGTGAGAAAGATGAATTTGCCTCACAAGTTCTCAAAGGAGTAGATTACGATGAGTGGATACTAAACTAGAGCTAAATTGAAAAATAAGGATAGATTGATTTCTTACAAAACCAATAACCATAGTGGGCACTGCCAAAAATTTGGCAACAAAAGATTTTCCACTGCACAGCAAAGGAAAAAATGTACGAAATTCAAAGTATATTTGTACCCGGAATTGGCAGATCCATTGGGCGGACTATGAGAGGGTGGGTGCCTTCCTGGTAATGGTATTCGCAGAGTCTTCAGTGCAAACATTTGAAGATCCGTGGCTAGTCCATTCATCCTTTTGATATCAGCCACCTAAATCATTACAAAGAGTTGCCATCAAAAGGAAGATAAATCATTACCTGATTATCAACCTAGAAAGCAACTACACATCTCACTCATTAGATACATCAAATATATTAGGACCGTCCTACCGTCAAAATAATCACGGTAAATCTGATAATAGAGGGGAAAGCAAAGCACCTCACGTACCAATAACATCATCATTTATAACTCTAAGAAAAATGCGTGTGCGCGTATTCTCCCGCATCAGTGACATTAAGTAATCAAATACACTAGATAATGCATATGTCCATTTAAAAATATATGTCCAGTCTAACCCCAAACAACACAAGGTGAGTATTCTGAATACTAGTAAAAATAAGATGTTGACATCAGTGAAAGTGTGCAAGTGATTTTCAGACTTCCCACATTAATGTATGAACAGTCCCATCCTATATCTTATCTGAAAGGGAAGCATCACCTATACTTCTGAACTAATGAAGCATAAAAGACTATTTGACAGCTAAAAAGAAATAAAAAAAAAAAAAAATCGTCAGACAGCATATATTCAAGATGAATGGGACTCTGTTCCTCCCATCGTGAAAGCCAGATATAAAAGAGAGGAGGATCAATCTTCATCCCCATTTCCGTTTTCTCCCTCCCACACAACTGATGACAAGTGAAAACCCTTCTTTCCTATTTTCATTTTCCCTTCCACAACCGGTTGCATCCATTACCAAGTATGTCATAGAAGTGGACAACAGCACATCGGGACAAATTATCAGTTGAGTTCTTTTAAAAATCCATGACCCATGTCGACTTTTTGCTGTCTTTCTCTATCAGCATCATCAAGTACTGGGAGAAAGTGGCGGAATCAGAGTGGTTCATCCATCCCAGCTCATTACAAAGGAAACAAACCGCATAACTTCAATTGTTCCACATAATTAGATTAAAAAACAAAGATGTCATTTTTGAATAGTTATATGATATAATATAATAAACACAGAATAATTCTCCTCGCTTTCAGTAAGGCTTTGAACAAATCATTTCACTAATTGCAACCGGTAAAGATAAAAATTCACAAACACCCTCTTCGTGTCAAAGAACAAAGAAAATTAGCTACAAGGGCCTTCAAAAATCGCCAGGAGAATACCGAAAAAGAATACGTAAGACGATTTTGTACCTCGACGCCGTACTTGATGGCCACGCCTGCCAGAGTGTCCAATTTGGAAACCGGGTGCTCAATCCAATTGCGTCCATTACCTCCACAACCACTTCCATTCTGTAAATAATTAGACGGAGACATGTTCGCCAATCGACGACCACCTAAGCCTTCTTTCGCAGAATCCCAATCGCCACTGCCTCTACCGCAGACACCGACACCGAGATCTGCGAGGAGAAACCGGGAATCTCACATGCACAGTCGTGTAAAGGAACCGGTGAGGGAAAGCGAAACGAATTGGCCACAACGCCAGAGAGGGAAAACTTTTCGAATACAGAAATTAGGGCAAAGAAAGATTTGGCTTTCGATATAGAAAACTAGAGTAAAAAGACGAGAGAATGAATCAATGAATGAATACTGTGATATTTTGATGAAGGAGAAGAGAGGCCTTCTTCTATAAAACTTCAACAAGAATTTGACTTTATTGTGCCCCCATTCCCTTCAATTATATGCATTGCGTTGGATTCTTCTTGCTCCTGCGCGTTTTCCCTGTGAAGAAACATGTAGCCATAAATTTTACAATATTTGTAAATTTAAAAAAAAAAAAAGCATTGAACGATAAAATTAAGTAAAATTCTATATGTTAATTTATAAATCTGGTAAAAAAAATGTTAATTTATGAATAAATATAAAAATATCATTAAATTTTGTAAACAAATATATCATCTTTATAATAATTTAACTACAGGCAGCATTATGATTTATTAAATTAACATGTTGATCATACAGATACTAATATTATATGAGTTATTTTTCCTAAAATTTTATATCCTTACTCTTATGAAATTTCACCTAATTATCATGGTAGGGCCTATTTAGATCACGATTCACAAGTACTTCTATATAAATCGAGTCAAAACTTCTTTTATATTTTTTTTACCTTATATTTCATAAATTATGATTAAATTTTTTTTAAATAAATTTTCCTAAACAAAGCCTTAAACTATAATAAAAGTGATCACCATATGACTGAACCCACCATTTTATTCAATCTGCACGTTGAAAAGAAGAAAATGGGTAAGAATATAATTTCATAATCATTCAAATATCACTAGCATTAGGTTAATTATATTATCTGTTTAGTACTCTTTCAGTTCTTAATATAGAACCTAATTGTTGAGTTGATTTTGATTTTAAATATAAGATCTATTTCTAATATTTATCAATTTTTTCTAAATTACTTATATAGATACTCCTTCAATCATAATCAAGTAGAAGAGGAAAGAAAGATAGTAAGAAAGATAATTATGATGTTTTAGAAAAAAACATGTCATATTTTTTATAATTAACTAACTAATCTAATTTTTTTAATCTAATCAAATTAGTTAAATAGATTTTATATTAAAGAGTGAAAGAGTATTAATTAACAAATTATAGTACCAACTAAGGAAATGGTTTAAAAATGGGGGATTTGGGGAGAAAAGTCAAATGAGTTGGGCAGACACATTGAGGAGTGTGAGGATTCTTTCTACGGACAGGATTCGGCTACCAATTATGAGATCATGTGTCTGCTTTCCCTCAGCTTTTTTTTTAAAACATTTTTTTAAAGCTGGAAAGGGCACGAGTTGGGTCAGAGCTTAATTAAACTAAATTAATAAAATATTGGGTTAACGCGGTGAGAGACCACGACTGGGCCACTGCACCGACACACGGCCTAACAAAACTGCGTCCCTCAAATTTAGGGACCCACCGACACCAATCAGTTTGCTGGGCGGAAACAAAACAATGTTTCTTAATTGGAATGACAGGATCACTCTCTAAAAGCAACCTTTTTAATTGTAATTTACTAGTATTACCTTGTAATTTACTAGTATTACCTCCCTTTCTTAATATAAAATCCTATTTATTTTTATTTTGATTCTAAATATAATATTTCAATTTATTTTGTCTCTCATATTTATACATTTTTTCCCATTGTAGTCTTTCTAATAATGATAGATGTAGCCAATACACTTGATTAATAAGAATATTTTAGGAAAGACAACACTTATTTACTATAAATAACTAACTTAATTTATTTTCTTAATCCATTTAAATTAGCCATCCAGTTTTTATATTTAGAACCGGAAGTAGTATAATAGAAAGAAAAAATGTAAGTAGAATTTTGCCTCAATTTATATAAAAATATTTATAAATATAGCTTTATGCAAATGCTTGGTTATGATTTTTAAAAAATTAAATTTTTTATAACAAATATTTTTGACAGACTATTATTTGGATTATTTTAGAGAAATTCATTTAGCAAACAAAAATCAATAAATGTAGCTTGCGAGGCCCCAAAATATGATGTTTGCAGCGAACTTTGGATTGATTAGTTTGGTCAATGTCCATAACATCTTAAAAATTGTTAAATAATAAATACACAATCAGTTTACGAGGAAAAATGTTTAACTAAAATGACTTTTTACATTAAATCAGTTTAATTTCGCTCAAACATATTAATCTAGTTAACGAAGAGTTAATTCATAATTCACAAAGATATAAACTCAAATCTCACTGTGGATATGGAAAACTTTCCATGCAGGTAATATATAAACATCTCAATAATGAATAGACGGTCTAATAATTGAAAATGTTTTTTTTTACCTGATAATTGAAAATATGTTGAAAACAACCACAGAAAATAAAATGCATAAAGCAGGTAAATAAAGGGAATATATAATGTTAAAAATGATTACTTAATATTTATGTTTGAAATAGTAGTATGATTTATTCAGAAAAAATATACCTCTTACGCATACAATTGCTCTGGCCAGACTAGTGTAGTTATTATTAATATACCGAAAACATGACAGCATATATAAAAGTAAGCTAAAATTATCAAGTTTTAGCCAAAAATAAATAAGCTAAAATTTGGATTGTTAAGAGATTAATTAAACGTTATCGGTTAATTTTTATTTTTTTTCGTAGTTTGGTTTGTATGGGTTGCGTCTGGTTTATCTTATACTTTTGTTGTACATTTCTTGATTGGTAACAATGAACCATAATTAATAATAGATAAAGTTGCTAAAGTCATGTTAAAATGGGCCAGCTTTTACATTATTATTCTTTATTTAAATTAAAAAATGTTATGGACACTTGAACCTGTTGAGATATATATCCATTCTTCAATTAATAAAAATAATTTGTTTCATTTAATTTTTTTATTATATTCAAATATCAGCATAATTAAATTTCAATTTAGCGAAGTCAAATATTATAGATTGGATTCCTACGGGTGGTATCTTTCGAGATATAGGCACATATAGATACATAACGGTGGCACTTTATTTTGTTGGCACGGCGTCATTCCGGACGCAACCGTGGAACGGTCAAAAGAGTGATTCTATATTCCGGATGATTCTGTTATTCCCTTTTTTCTTTAAAAAAAAAACTATATATTGCATGCAGTAACAAAATCCAAATAATCTCTCACCAGCAGATTGAAGCATGATTCCAAATATTTTTAAACAATAATTTAACGGAAAATTATATTTAATTACAAAATCAATCTTCAGTTTTAAGTTTAAACCAACTAGAGTCCCTGCATAAAGTGCATATGTGCAACGTTAATATGCATTTAAAAAAATTTAGTGATTAAAATAGAGAACAAGAGAACAAGATTTCTCAATATCTCTCAAGATTGATCCAGTATCCAAATTTGTTAAAGAGGATCGAAAAATTATCCCAGATAGATCTTTTTCAGTAAACAAGCAAACTAAACAAATGATCTTGTGTGTGTTCTTCTCTGGATCAGCAAGTATGGAGGAGCTTCCTGAAGAAATGATACTGGAAATCCTTCTACGCATGCCCGTCAATTTTCTTGTGGGTCCAAGTCATGGCGTTCAAGAATCTCGAACCCTAATTTCGCCAAGTTGCATTTCCAACTCTCTAATTATTCCCAATACCCCAATCGAATCCTTCTCACAACTTCTCCTCAATTGAAATCCATTGATATGAACGCATCTCCTCACAATGATTCTGCCACCATAAACCTCGATTTCCCTCCCCTCGAACCCGACGTCGATGTTCGTATCGTGGGTTCTTGTCGAGGCATTTTACTTCTCCAGATAGAAAAAAAGCAAGAAAAACGTCTGTTTCTGTGGAATCCTGTGATCACTGGCACTTACAAACAGATCACACAGCCTCCTGAATGCGAATATGTAATTCCGTTTGTCTTTTGTTATCATGAATCTATGGATGACTACTTAATTGGTCTCTCCTACTACATTCCTAGTAGGTGGCGTGAGGTTTTGGAGGTTCTTTCTCTGAGGGAAAAAATTGATCTCAAATGCTGCTACTATTGTAGAAAACCAGTTCCAAACCTTGGTACATTCTGGAACGGTGCTATTCATTTCATAGCTTATCGTTATGGGAAATCTTTTCCGGCAGAACTTATTGCGTTTGATATAACAACAAAGGATATAAGAAAAGCACATCTCCCCATCGAACATTCAAACTTTTTGGAAAAGTGCAGATCTGTAAGTGCATAATGAAGGTTGCATATTTCTTTGACTGCTGCAATGTTTGATGAAATACAAGTATGGGTGATGAGATCCGCAGAAGGTCGGACTAAGTTGATCTCCATATCGTGTGACCACAAGATCAGTGGCGTTGATCGCCTTCTGCCATTACTGTTCTGCAAAGAAGGCGATGAATATGTTATAATTCATTGTACAAAAGATGAAGACGAAGGATTATCAAAATGGAATAACAGAGGAGAACTGGCAGAACATCGCCCATTTGGTCCTAATCCACGCATTAGGCCTTCATGTTTCTATAATCATTGGTTGCCTCCATATATAGCATTTTGGAGGCTTGCAATGGCATATACCGAAACTTTACTTCCCCCTCCCTTGAGGCTGTACTGCGGGTTTTGATCAGTCCTCTCCCAACTGTTCCCTCCGTTCCCTCCGTTCGCCCCAAGTTTTTCCTCACTTTCTAAATGCTTTTATTCTTATGTTCTTTTTATCATTAGATTCTACGTAAAATGAGTGATATTTTAACATCTTATTAATAAAAAGTAGTGCATTTTTAAGTAGGTTGACTTAATTAAAACATTGTTGACCTAGCAACCTTGTCTCTATGCTCTTCAATATTCAGAATATAATGCAGTTCGAGGAACAACAACAATTTTTGTGTGCGCTTCTAATTGCAGGACAGCCTCCATGATCTTCTTCCTCGTGATCTTATGGTGTGAGTCCAATAATTAATGGAACATAAGATGTTTTTTTTAGGGCTCTATAAATAGTTTTAGGATTTATGGGGCTTCCAATTAAATACAGTATTCTCTTCTTTAATAATTTCCAATTAAAAAAATAAATGACTTAAATTTTTTTCTCTGCACCAACCCAAGTGACTTCTTCTGTACACAGTGGGGCAAACGCCCGAACAAAGAGATTTGATGACCTCAAAAGTAAATTTAACAAAAAGAAAAAGAAAAAAATTGTAAAATAATTTAAATATTATTAGTCTCTTACTTCTAACACAAATGGTCTCATTTGATTAAAAATGTTAACTCAACATATTTAAATATTCACTTTATACTTAAATGCCAACAAAATATGTTAAATTTTGATTTTTTATTTAAAATTTAAACATGCTTTGTTGGCAATTGTCCAATTACAAGATCAGGTGTTTAGTAGTTATTCCCTTGCGACAACACTCACTGGCATCAACCACACGCATGAAACATATGGGGGGAAATTAACCTGGCCCATTGCCGATTTATTGCGCACCCATTGACCCACTTTAATTAATTAAAAAATAATACAACGATCACCGATAACTTTTTTCAGCAGTGTTTTCATATTATTTTGATTAAAGCATACATTTGGCCTTTTTAATTTTATATAAAATTTTAATTCAGTATCTACAAAATAAGTTTCATATGTAAAACTCAAGGAGTATATTTTTTTAGTTTTTTAATCTCATTCAAATCTTAAATATTAATAAAAAAATTCTCAAATACTAACATATTAAATTTAAGTTTTGAAATAATCATAATTACTATAAAAAAATATTATTTAAAACAAACAATTTTAGAATTTAAAGACCAAAAATGCATTTTTTTTTTAATTCAACCAAACTGAACTCTTACATCCAATTAAATGATCACGTACATACTATAAACTATAATCTATAATTTTTAATTGAAATTCAGGGAAGTCAAGTATTATAGGAATGCGCGTTGCTTCATATAAATCCTTGGTTTTGGTCAATACATACATACATATAAATACGTGTGTGTATATATACATATATAAAACCTTGGAGGAAACGCGCATAAAGCGGCAAGGTTGGCCTGTTTTTGGCGTTTGGTGAGAGATCAGTTGCCGCATTTTAAGGGTAAAGATTCCTTTGTTTATTTGTAGAGCACCTGGAAGCATCCGTGAAAAAGCGAAAACTCGAGTGACTCTGTATTCCAGATCATCTGTTATTCCCTTTTTTTTTTTAAATAATTATTATATAAGAGAAGTACGTTCTTGGTCCTGGATATTAAAGCCATAAAACTAACCTAATTTTAACAGGTAATAGCAGATTTCAGTGATGATGATATAAGATCCTTCGTCAAATTCAAATCCGCGTAGAATAATACTGGCAGACTTTTTCATATTATCAACGTCATTAAACATAAATGGACATGCATAAGAAATTGCAAAGGGACAACATTTATATATAGACTCTTTGTTGTGTTGGAATACGAGTATATAACCCAGTCCCCCACTACGAGCAATATAGCATGAGAGAAGGCAGACGAAAGACAATAGGAGTTCGAATGAAGCAAACGATAGAAATCCCAGAAAATAAGAAGTTTCATCATAATCCATCCAATAAAAAGATGAATTTATAAATAATTCTACCTGTCAAGATGATGATAGCAAGTTACCTATGTTTCTCAAGATGAAATATGATGTTCGCAACTCTCACTAACCACTAGCAATGGACATTTCACATCCTTCCTATTGAACAATGATGCAGATTTGAAACACTGTAAACCTGCCAAAAGAGAAGAACCAAGTGAAAATCATCTCGAGATCATAGCCTTCCCTTAAGCAATTACTCCTCTGGTCCTATTTATAAGATACTTCTAACATATTTCACACAGACAAAAAAAAAAACCTTAAAATACATTAACTCTCTATTAAAATATAACAATTTTTCAACTTTACCCATATTTAATATATACACATCTCAAAAGAGATAACTACCTACACCATAATAAATGAAAGACAAAATAATACATTCATACTGAAAATTTAATGAAGTGACTTATACACATAGAAAAAAAAAAAAAAACCTTCTCTACCTTATAAATAGGACCAAAGGAGTATATCATAAAACATATATTCACCGTATAGCTGGTATACATCAAAAGGTCCAGAAAAAGGGAGGAAAACGGTTTGAGAATATCGGGCATATCGTTTCAGTAATCAGTGTTGAAAATGAGAGTCCTAATGATTATAAAACTAGAACGGGCTAATAATACGGAAAAACTGAGAAATATAGGTATCATTGTTAATGAAATAATTGATACAAGGGAAGTTGGGGCAGCAATCTACCAACCATGAATAAAAAGAAAATAGCAATCTGGGTTAGCAAATTCCCTTTTCGAGCATGAATAACTTTCAAGTTGGTCCAACAGGGGGGGAAAAAACTTCAAATTATATGCCATAGTGCAGCTTATTATCGATACAATCATCTTGTAATCCGGTGCTCAATATACAAAAATCTCTTTCTTAAGCATCAATTAGCAAGCTCATTAGTCTGAGACAAAACATAATAACCCAAAGAACCACAGTAACCCCCCTAGATTTATTCTAGAAGCAATCCAAGTAAACTTTAAGGACTATCTTCTAGTTTTATCCAGACAATAGGTGAGTTTTTCATGTTCTTATGCAACTTTATCTCCAGAAGCTCACAAATAAAAGGAAGGTAGAAAGGGCTGGAGAGCATTCTTCTTCAACACCTAAGTCCTGCTACCATAAATTCCAATTTCCAACACATTTACCAATAAGATGCTCGAAATATAATTTGGCAACATACATCCCAGTTAGACACATAAACTACCAAGATGGCTTCTATAATGAAATCAAATATATAGGTAAAAAAAAAAAGGCTGACAACGACATATCTATAAGTTATAAAAACCACACTGTTCATAAGCCGTGAATTTGCTCCATATAATTGCAAGGGCCCACTCTAATTTATAAAACTGTCCTTCATGGAAGCCAACATATCTATAAAACTTACCATCATACAAATCAATACAAATGCAAAAATAGTTCATAATAACTATTATAGATGCGAAGGAACTCATCCAAGTACAATGAAGTAGGTTAGGCTACGCGCTCAGCTTGTGTGTCAATCAAAACCACCATCCACGATAAGTGTGTGTTTGTGCGCGCTAAATAAAAATTTTGGATAAATTTTGAGGTTTCCAAACAAAAAATCCCAAATCTAATGTTCCTTCCAACTCATCAAATTCTCTTCTTAGTTGAGATTCATAGCAGTTGGGTGAAAATACTTCTATGAAAGCTAAAAGGCAAAATGCAAAGAGGAAAATATAGTAGCATCTACAACTAAGTCTGCAGATCTTTGAGCTGAAGTGAAAATAAGCAATCGGGCAAGATTAAAAACCTCTTGAAGAATCTTAGCTGGGCCTATAATATTGACATTTTATCAACTTCAAATATCAGAAACGGCCAATTTGCTATGAAAAGTCAACAAAATTAAATGATGCCTGATTGATTCAGAATTTGTACCAAGTCATACACGTCATGCCATGCACTTTATTTCACAAAGCACGAGTTGATAAAAAAGAGAGCTGTTAAAGCTTACTGTAGAACTCTGTATGATTCCCCAATTTAAGTTTGATGGGATCAGCTCCAGAAATGTATTAGTCACAGGAGTAAAATCCAGACAGAATGTAAGTCTAAGCTGGATCAGCTACAGGTATCTGGAAAATAAGAACAGAACAAAACACACATGCTCCTAGCAATTCTCTTCAGGATTACTCTCAAACCTTCGATCCAGTAGGTTTCTTGCAAGTCTCTCTTGCCTCTTTTTCTTTCACTCAAATCACTTGAGGTAATTGCTCCCCCAAGATTTTTAATTCAACTTATTCTTGATCATGCTCTTTTTCTTTTTCTTCCTCTGTTTCGACTGTTCTGCTTTCTCTATCCTCAACTCTTCCTTTATATCTCTGATTTGTTCTTGTATTTCCTTGATCGATCCTTCCATATGCTTCATCTTTTCTATTATATTGTCTGCATGTGTTGAACAGCTTTCCAGCTTCCTCTCCATTCTCCACATTGCAAATCTTCTTATGTGTTTCTTCCAGCTGAATCCCCATTTTGTTTTCCCCCTCTCTCGAATTGTACCGCTATGATGCATAATGATGGGATCAGCTCCAGAAATGCATTATTCAAAAGAGAACAATCCAGCCAGAGTTAAGTCTAACGGATTAAGGCACAAACAGCAATAAAAATGCAAGAAAACCCACAAGGAACACAATGTTCCACCATTTGAGATGGTAGGGCATCCCAACGGATTCTCCCACTGGCTGCTTGCTTCTCTTCCTTCTGGCCTCCAACAACCCCACCCCCCCCCCCCCAAAAAAAAACACACACCCAAAAAAAAAAAAAAATGTATGCAACCACTTCCTCTCGCTCTAACATCTCAAAACTCACGGGCCATTAGTTAGGACACATCAAAGTTGCAGTCAGATGTGCAAGTTAGCAACCCAACTTTACAAAAGTTCTGAACAAGGTTCAAAGAAAATAAATAAAAAATAAAGTTTGCTGCAATTGCAGTTAACTAATATTCATCAACAGTCACCAGCAAAATGGGGTGGCAGTTTCGGGGCTTCCCGTTATATGCCACTGACAATATTGCTATTCATCAAACTCAGAGTTAATGACACGATATAAACTCCTTTTACATTCATCTTCATCTTCTTGTGGGCTATGCATGTTGAATAAAACCAACCAAACTCACATCCTTTGATAAGTCAGATGCAAGATAAGCCAAAAAATGACCAGACAAACAGCTGCTCTTGTTGAGCTGGTAGTTTTCCTTTAAAATTGGATGAAAACCACCATCCATGCAAACATCTGACCACACGTGCCAAAATATTTTCCTCCGGCTTGGATCAATGTGTACCCCCACCCAAAAGATTCACCATGATCAACCCGCTACTGCCAATTCACCGCCAGTAAAGCATCAAAAAGACAAAAAGATGCCTCCAACCAAAAAGATCAATTATTTCTTAAAAGTGAGCTCCTCTAATGCCCATAACCTCTAGCTAAGTAAACAATGACAGCCAATAAGTTTCTAATCAAACACAGTTAGTCAGCTAGTTAATTTGCTCAGGAGGTTTCAGTGGCTAAAGAACAATCAAACAGTAAGTAAAAAAATGGAAAGCAAGGGTAATAACAAGAAGATTCCAAAATTAAGCTGCACCTCAGTACTTCTCGATCATATTACTTGTGAGTTGTGACGGCAAAACAAAGATCGTTGTACATGGAAATACACACAAGCATAAGTTTCAACCAATCTAACAAAAGAAAAGGAATTCAAAACCAAAGAATAACAGAAGGTTTCAAACTTACAGAAAAATTACTCGCAGGTCTTAATCGAGATCTTCTTGTCTGGTCTCCGACTCAAAATTCTGGTTTCCACTTCTTCCGGAATTTGATTCCCCGCTATTATTTCCGCTGACGTTGGCATTCCCAGTACTGCTAGTCTCGGCTATGGAAGCTAGTTGCCTAAAAGGCCAAGGCAAAGAAACCCTAAACCTGCGTTCTCTCGGTGTGTCTTCTCCAGATGTTGCACTACCACCGTCACCGCTGCCCCCATTACCTCCTTCAGAAGAACCAGCGGACTCACCTTCCCCTGCAGATTGATTTCGATTCTCCTGTGTAGATGTCCCACCAGCTCGTTGTTCGTAGTCAGGATCATCCGTTGGTAACTCGTAACGGCAAACAGGGCAAGAATTATGCAATTCCAACCAAGGCAAAATGCAATCTGAATGATATATATGTTTACATGGCATCTGCTTCGCCTCTTCCTCGAGCTCAAATGTATCTTTACAAACGGCACACTGCGATGATTCCGAAGCCAGCAACTCTTCTGAAATCTTAATCGTAGGAAGGCCCTCAATGGCAGATTTCGAAGCTGGAGGCGTCCCGTGTCGGTTAGGATCGTTCTCCGCAAGCTGTTGAATCAATTGCTCGAGGCCAGGTCCAAAAAAATAATCACCAAAATTGAGATTCGCGGGCAGACGGAAGGTTCCACCGGGGTCTCCAGAGTTCTCTATCACAAATTGAACATTAGCACCGCCGGCTCTCAGGGTTTGAAGATAGTTCTGAAGAAAAACAAAAGGGTTGAACGCATCAGTTTCCCCGAACGGAGACGATCGATTAGGTCCACCACCGAAGAGAGTAGAGAGATCGTCGATTATCGGTGCACCAGCACCACTACCGCCGCCGGTGGAAGTGGTGGAAAATACTAGAGGAAAGCCGGCACCGCCGCCGCCAAACTCAGAAGTAAACGAAAAGAAGGGATTAGAAAAATTAGGGGCGGGATTATCGACTTCCTCAATGAAGCCGCCGTTGCAATTGGGACAAGCGAGATCAGAGGAAGATGAAGTCCTAATGGATACGGTGGCGTTGCACTCATGGCAAAAATAGAGTTGAGAAGAACCGCTGAAAGCAATCCCGCCGCCGCTCCCTCCACCGTCGCCGCCGGCGGACGACATATTACCCGGGTCAAGAGAAAGGAAGGGGAGAGAGAGGAAGACCGTAGCGCAACTGCGTGAGAGGATAGCTTAGCCGTAAAATGTGAAAATAAAAACAGACGGGGGGTGGCGGAGAGATGGTTAACTCATCCCACGCGCCGATTTTCACGCGCCGCTATTGGTAGGTGTGCGACTGGGCGGTGACTCATTTATTTGACAATTACACTTTTCCGTCTCAAGTCTGGACTCTGTACGGTAAGCAGAATCAAAGAAAATCAATGTATTGTATTTTATCTTTACATTTAAATTTTTGTACTCTTATTTAATTTTTATAAATTCTGTTTAAAATTTATTAACTTAAATAAGTGTTCGATTGTCAATGCTGCAGTGAGATTTTTCTATTTTATTTTATTTTTCGAAATTAATTTTTTATGTTATTAACTAAAATTTGGGAGAAGAGGTAAATACAGCCAAAAAATGAAAATTTGGATAATTATTTATATATATATTAAAATTAAAATTATATCTATCTGTTTTTCATTATTGATGATATGAATAATATTCTCATAGGTTATCCATTGAGTTTATTTTTAAATTATAAAATTAATGATGACGATAATGATAAGACTAAATCTATATTTGTGTATAATTAATTAAAGTAAACAATAAAATTATCGAATAATAGAATTCTTTTTTTTTTTGGTAGAGATCGAATAATAGAATTCTGTTAACAAGATGTGAATCTTCATCCTTATTAATGTGGAGAACTCGTGTTTTGATAGGATTTTACTTAACTCTTTATAAATTAGATCAATGTATTATCTCCCACTCTATATTTGTCATGCGTCATTCTAAATGTTATCTACTCTCTTTTAAATTTATAATTTTTTAAGCTATTCTTATTGTTGGATATATTAAAAAGAAATGTTTATTAATGAAGTAATTTTCAATACAAATTATTAAAAAAGGTATTTTTGGTATAAAAAAAAGCACACATTTTTTAAACAATTAATTTAACTACGTTATTTTTTTTTCATAACTTAATTATCTAGAACAGGGAATATATTACGCATTTGGGATCATATCCTCCACAAATGGGGAAAAAAAGATCTTTCATTCGGAGCCATAAAATTGTGGTGTCTGTGAGCGAAATTTAGCAAAAATTATAAGACAAAAAAAAAAACCCAATCAAATTTGAACGTAAAATCCTTTTTTATTCTGCAAAACATGAAATCCATATTGAACTTATTCTACGTATTTAATTTGGCCAAAAAAAACTTTTAGGAAAATAACCATAAAACACATGTTAAATTTCAAAATAACAAATAAGTAAAGTTTGGTATTGGTGATTTGGTGCAAATGTATTGGTTATTCTTACAAAGCTCTTGACATGATAAAATCACCGATGGTCATTTTAAAATTTATTGGGTACTTTTCTGTTATGTTGGCAACATTTTATTATATATAGTGTATGCTGGGGTATTCTTTGTTAAATGCATATTTTTCCGGTAACACCTTTTTAACAAGAAAACGGACTCAACTGCCAAAAAAATGAAATGTGAATACTAAAAAAATTTAAAAAAATAAGTACAGAAAATTAAAGTTTAGAGATAAAATGATTAAAGTAAAGTAAAAATATAAGAAAATGAATATGAAGAAATGAAAAATGAATACTACAAAGACGCCAGTTATTGGTGATGATGGATTGATGGCTGGTGGGCATGGATCTGTGTTGTCAACTAAAAAAAAAAATGTTGATTTCAATTTTCAACCAAAATCTTGATTCTTTTTTCGAAAATTTGGTGTCCTAATATAGTAATTAATATTCTTCTAATTTTATTTATAAGTCATTTTCAATATGTTTCACATAGATTAAAAAAATTTTAAGTTTCATTAACTCTCATTTAAAATCTAATAAATTTTTAACTTTATCCCTATTTAATATACATTATACCTCATATAAATAAAGTCAACACAATAATAAATGAAGGGTAAAGTTGTACATCTATATAAAAAATTTCTCTTAATATCCTTATAAATAGGACTAAAAATATCTTCTTCCTCCACCATATAAATAAGATCAAAGAAGTATTCTAAAAAAACTACTCAAATATTTTTTTTTCAATTTTTTACTTACTTTTTTTTCGTGGTTAATATTTTGAACTCTCCCATCAATCATTATCAATCCACATTAGCCATAAATAATTGTAGTTGACTCTAGCCTCTGCAAAAGTCACATATCCATCTAGAAATATTAACTCCCTTTTATTATTTGACACTGGGCTGATTATTAGGGGCAAATGTAGATTATTTACTCTGCTTTTAATAAATATCTTGGGATTTGTCTCTGCTCTTCAACTCTGTAATTTTGTAATCTGTCCATCTTAAAAATTCAACTTAATTTTTGCAAATCAATTAACAACTTTTAATCAAAGTTAGTTAGTCATTATTGTTTCATACATGAAGATTAAGAATATTAAGTAAAGAAAAAAGTTCGCTTCTTTATATTTGATATACTAGTTCTGAACTTAATTATAAGATCCTATTGGTAGATTATAAACAAAGTCTTATAATTAGGATCGGAGGTAATATTAAATTTTGGACTAGGTTTTTGTCTTTAATTATTTATACTTAATATGTACAAATAATAGGAAGAGTTTAAAAAACATCATAATATTAAGTTAAGATCCCTTTTGTTATTGTTGTGTGGGCCTGGAAGTGATTTTCCTTAAAATAAATATGATTTTTCATGAGATGAAATTATTTGGATCCAGAACCTTCTAGCATATTACAATTCGTTGACAGCTCCGATGCGGGACAAGTTCGTGCTTCAAGTCATCGGCGAATGATACTTTGCAACTTGCAGAGGGAAATACCCGTAACTACTGCTACTATTGTTTTTTTTTTTTGGACCGGAATTATTATTATTATTAATAAAAAGACTTGAGAGGATATTTGTTTGTCATAACGTTACCCTTAAGAAAAATATCATAGATAAAAGACGTATTTTCAAGCAAGGTATTTGCAACATGAAGTGTTCATCCAGGGTAGGCCCCACACGGCAACAGCTTTAATCTGGGCCGTCAACTAATTTTTTTATTTTCACAGTTTTTATGTATTTGATTATTAAGAAATTTTTTAATCAAACGAAGTTTTATAACTAAGATCAGAAATAATATTATTTAAAAAATATTCCGAAGTATTCAAATTAGCCGCTACAAATATTTTTGTCTTTATCTCCAAAATTTTGAAATACATTTATTTCAAGGTGAAAATAAAGCAATTTTTTAAATATATCAATATCAAAATTTTTACAATTAAAATATCCATAAGAGCATAATTCCCTATATGCTCAGTATTCATGTAATATTGAATAAGGATATGACAGAAAACACTATCCACATAGCAGTATCATAAAAAAGATAATTCAAAAAATATAACAGCTCAAAATATATGGGAAGAAAAAATATTATCAGTGAAAGTATAAGAATTTATGATTATCAATCTGGACAAGAAATATATTTACATAACATTGAAAAAACCATTTTAATCTAGTAACATATTCAGAAAGCATAGGTTGCTCATAAAAGGCAAAGCAAGAAGATTATCAAAGTTGGTATCCAAGGTAAGACACTAATGATTAGACGATTATGTTTAGGGTTCAGATGCTGGTGCCAATAATCATGATGTAAGAAATAGGGGGGAAGAAGCATTGTGTAAAATGCAACATTGACAAAAATGGATTCTAACAAAAGTTTTCATATTCACCAACGGGAGTTGGTTCAAGTAGTAAGCGGCTTGGTACCACTTAAGCGAGGTCTCGAGTTCGAGCCTCAGCTTATGCAGAAATCCCCGTTAGGAGATTCACTCACCACAACCAGGTACACGACGCGGGTCGGATCCAAATGTAATCGGAGCAAAAGATCTAGTGAACTAAGTGGGCAACCAAAAAATTTTTTTTTTCATATTCCCACTCCCATTGACCCCACCAAATATGCAATCTTCTTTGAGGCCTGCCTAAACAAAATAGTCTACCATAGAAAAACGAGGCCCTGCGGCCCCGACACACCCAAGAAAAACCTAGTTCAAGAATTTAGATGCTCAAGTGTCTGTTACTAACAGATAACTGTTACATCATTGTGAACATATTTGACATGTTTGTTCCATCTGATTTCGTGAAATATAATAGAGAGAAAAAAAAAGGACCACTCCTATGATTATTCTAAAGGTACTAAACTCATGGAATAAGGAAACACACTAGGCCTTGGACGAGGTAAGGAATTAGTCAGGTCACGAAGATTGCAGGATTCAACCATGATGTTCTTCTCAAAGTTAGTTATAAAAGTAAACATTATCACCCACCTTCATCAACAAAACTCCATCCTTGAAACTTAAAGGATCCATCCATGGCCTTTGAAGTATACCTGCTCTTTGCAAAACCGAATGCCTCAAATTGCAGAAGAACTTGGAATTCTCCCCTTCGATCTCTTCCAATGATTTCCAGAACTTTGATTCCCATTTAGTCTCATGGTCATCTTTAAGATGCCACACATGAATACCTTGCTCGGTTATCATCACATAGTGAAGCACTCCCTTCCATTCTCCAATACAAGCTGCGGGTGTAACTCTCAATTTCGGGGCTGGAATTGGCGTTGAAATCAACAAAGATAGCTCATTCTCAAGATCCAAAGTCAGAAGTTGATCAGAATCAGTTAACCAGTATATGATACCCCCAGCGTAAGTTCCTTGGATTAAACTGTCATCACAGCGACAAATCTCATTTGACTTTTTCCATGATTTAGTTTCTGATGAGTATATTTCAAATGTGAAGTAATGTAATGGTTCTTCTTCATTTCCTTCCCAATCATCCTCAATCTCAAGCGGCTTGACTTTTACCAAGTTGAACTTGGTAGAGACATCCATGGGGCGTTTGTATGGGTCAAAAGACAACACTATGCTGTCAGTTTTGTCATAATCAGGACAATCCAAAGAAATCCGTTGTTTGTTTGTGGGGTTGCAGATATAAAGAGTTGTTTTTGTTGAAGAAGAAGACATCTTACTGTAGTTCAGACAACAGATCAGACCATTGCATGAAGACAGCACTATAACATCTTCAGGAAGGAAATTGAACATGTCACTATGAACTACGGATTTTGATCGTGTGTTGGGATCATCATTGTTGTGATCAAGAAGAGGGATGTTTATATAATGGACGCTTCTGACGTTTTCGGTGATCCATATGAAGGACTGTTGAAAAATGAAGCCTGACAGGGTTGGCTCTGTCTTCTCCAACAGAGCTTTTATGAAGGAACGATCGTAGGAGATAAAGCTGGGCCATTTCTTAGCAACACACTTAAAGCCAAGCAAGGTCCTTGTCGAAATACGTGATAGAATGTTTAAAAGGTTCTTCCTGTCCAGAAAGCCATTAAGCTTCTCCATTTCCTAAAATAGCAGAAAAAATAGTAGAGGATTTAGTTCAAATTCATTTTACACTACGTACTAAAGCTGCAAGTGGTGGTTTTTAAATAAAATAAATGCTACCGCCCAGATCATAGATATAAGTGGGAGTCTTCAACTCTATGGTAAGAAGATTACTAAGAATGTGGAAAAGGATACACATTATAATTGGCCAATGTAAAACGAAGAAGGATCATAATCATAAATCAAATTTAAAATGTAAAGAGGAAGGCGATAAACATGTTTTATGCTAAAATAAAAACTTGAAGGGAAAATATAGAAGATCATGTCATCACCTCAAATGGAATTACAAAGTTTTTTGTAATGATTACCACTATCACTTTCAAAAATGATGCTAGGCTACCCGGGTTTGAGGGTTTAGGGGTTCCACAATAACATGCAAGGGAACTAACACCATAAAAAATCACCCATGCAGCTCATGAACATTCACATTTCACAGGGTGAAAGAAAAATAAAGAACAGGGAATCCAATCCAAAATGCATTGTTAGTTTATTACCTGATTTGGCTGGCCACGGTGCTACGTTCAGAATGGTAGACGTGAAAACATAACCGCAAGCGGAACAGCACAGCACAGAAGAGGCGTGAGCCAATTCAAGCCTTTTGAAGACATTTTTTTTTTGAATGACCTTTTGAAGACATAATTAATGATTAGGAATATATCAAGGTACATGACAGATGAAATGCATAGGAAAAATATATATATATTTATATATCTGTGTGTGTGTTTTCTTTTTTAGCAAAGACAAGATATATTGCTCTGGTATTTTTATTACAAGACACTTCAAACTATTTCACAATACTAGTAAACGTAGTTAAAAGTAGTTTTTATGGTTAAAATGATAAAAAATTATTACAACTTTTCAAGATTACTCCAATGAAAATCAATGTACTAGTATATCTTAATTACTTTTAATGTTTTTTTTTCATAGTCTCTCTTTTAATTTGTTTAACATAGTCTCTTTATAATACAATTAATAAGGACATTTATGAAAAATAAGATACTAAAGCTATTGGCTTTTCGCAAGATGAGTTATATTTCGGACCATGAAAATTTCTTACAAGATTTCTTACGTTCAAAATCATTGTACTCAATGAGTTCAAATTTTGACATAGTACACAAGGTAAAAAAGAAAAAAAGTGGACAAAGCAAAAAATCACAAACGATTGAACCGGTTAAAGTATTACTCATATTCATCGACAACATTTAATTATCAAACCATGACCTAGTTGTTATTGAATTGATTGCAACTGATCAAAGTAATATATTTTAAAATAGTTAGTTTTTAACATATACTAACCAACTATTACCTCTAATTATTAATATGAGATCTAATTATACTGCAAACTACTAATATTAATAATCGGAGGTAGTATTTTAATATGAATGTTTGTGTGAAAAACTTTTTAAAAAAAGAATATTGAAAAAATAACGAATAAAACTATAAGTAAATATTTTGTATGTTAAGAAAATATAAATGAAATAATTATAACTATTTTGATGTGTTGCAATAGTAAATTCGCTACCATACCGATCCCTTGGGTAAGATCCCATTCGAAGTCCTTTGCTAACAAGGACAAACTAATTTCTAGTATTGTAACCACACAATAATATCATTGCTTGCTAGAATTTTAGATTAAGGAACGACAACGAAAGTTGAAAGAGTGAAGAGAAACATTTCCTTGATTAGTTTATAAAGGCACCAAACTCATGGAATAGGGGAGCACAATGGGACAAGGTAAGGAATTAGTGCTCAGGTCTTGAAATTTGCAAGCTTCTGCCATCAAATTCTTCTCAATGTCATAAAAGTAGACATGAACAAACACCTTCATCAACAATACCCCGTCTTTGAAGCTTAAAGGATCCATCCATGGATTTTGGTGCAAACCTGCTCTTCGCAAAACATGGTTCTTCAAATTGCAGAAGAACTTGGGATTTTCCCTTTCAATATCTTCCAATGATTTCCAAAACTTGAGTTCCCATTTAGCCTCATAGTAATCTTCAAGATACCACACGTGAAGACCATTCTCTGTTATCATGACATAGCAAAGGATCCCTTTCCACTCTCCAATACAAGCTTCAGGTATGGCCTTGAACTCTCCTGATGGGATTGGTGTTGAAATTACCAAAGATAATTCCTTGTCAAGATTAAAAGTGAGGATATGATCTGCATCAGTGAGCCAATACAAGACATTCCCAATGTAAATTCCTTGTTTCTTGATTGAACCGTGGTCGTAATGGCATATCTCATTTGATTTCTTCCATAACTTTGTTGTTGATGAGTATAATTCAAATGTGAAGTATTGCGATAATTCAACCTTGTCCTCATCTTCTTCATCCTCATTCTCGGTCTCAATCTCAAACTGCTTCACCCTTACCACGTGGAAGTTGGTGGAGACGTCTATGGGGTCTTTGTATGGGTCAAAAGTCAACACTATGCTTTCATGTTTGTTATAGTCAGGACAATCCAAGGTAATCCATTCTTTGTTTGTGGGGTTGCAAACATAAAGAGTTGTCTTCGTAGAAGAAGATAAGAAACAGCAACTGCGACAGCAAAGTAGACCATTGCATGAAGACAAGACAACAACATCTTCAGGGAGGAAACTGAACATTTTGTGGTGAATTATGGATTTTGACCTTGTGCTCTGCTCATTATGATGTCGATCAAGGGAGTTAATGTTCATATAACTGATAGTTTTTATGTCTTCGTTGCTGCACCTGAACTTTTCTTGAAAAATGAAGCCTGACAATGTTGGCTCTGTCTCTTCCAGATGAACTTTGATGAAGGAACGATTGTTAGAGATAATGTTGTACCATTCCTCAGAAACACACCTAAAACCAAGCAAGATCTTCACTGGAACACGAGATAGAACATTAAAGAGGCTGTCAATGTCCAACGACCCATGAAAATTCTTCATATCCTACAACACCAAAGAAAATTGAAGCAGGCTCAATTCAAATCCGTTTTAGACTATGTGCCGAATCAAGTCGGTGCTAGTTTTTGAAAGAATTGCAACTTTATTTCACCACTGAGTTGCATCAATAAATTTGCTTAAATTCAATTTCCGGAAACAGTTTTTTCCTGTCTAATACAGGTGTTGCAGATGAATTTCCAACTTGAGCAAACATTTCCTAATTCCAACAAGTATCTACGAAATATTTTCCTTCCACAATCCTCAATAAGCAGAACTTCTAGTCATTATTTCAACCAGTTGAAGAGAATTTACCTCTCCAGGCAAAACTACTGCTTTGTTCTTACCTATGTTATTCACTTTTGATTTTACTTCTATTTAGTTTTTCTTTTCAATAGTCTTAAGAACAGCTAATCGAAGATCACACAAACCCAAAAACACAGCTTCATAACTACCCAATTCCTCCATTTTACAGACCCTATGCATGGAAACAAAGAATCAAAATAATGAGACATTACCCTTATGCTTTCACACCCGACCCTCTCGAGCTCTCAGCTCCCAGTTTCGCTACGATGATTCTTTTTTCACTCTTTCTAGCAAACCAAACAGATATCGACTTGAGATTTAGTAAATTAGAAAAAGGCAAGCAATCCTCTTTCTCTTATAACCTTCCGCGTCGGCCAAATGAGAAAGGAAATAAAAGAAATAGCTCACTACTTAGCTGCTCTAATACCAGTAATTCTTCACATAAACCGGACAGGACCTCATCGATTTGAAGAACATCAGAACTTAAAGGAGGAATCGCAAGAGCTCACGCAAAAAAATTTGAAGAGCAGGCGAAGAAACGGAAACCAAAAGCACAGAGCGATATGAAAGATTTCGGAAAGCAGGGGTCATCAAAAGCTCGCCCGAAGTTGGAAAACCAAAGCGCAGAGAAATATGAAGAAGATGTCCAGAAACCAGGGGTCACCATTTAAAGCTCGTGCTAATCAGAAAATATTGATGAAAAAGGTAAAAAGCTTAGAGAAAGACACTGAACCTGCTGTTTTTGCTGTTGTTCCATCCTTGAGTTCCTACACTGTCTTCTTCCTCTTCTCTATCTTCCTCTCGAGCTAAATCTCGACTACCTTACCTTCCTGAGATTCCGGTCAGAAGTATAAAAATCAAAAGAAGAAAACGCCACAAAGCACAACTTCACTTGCATTAATTCCCTTTTACTCACTTTTTTCCTGCTAACCAACCACACTCATTTTTGCATATAAACACCATGAACTCAACAATGAATAATTAAAGCTCAGCTCATCCGAAGAGCGTTCAAAGCAGAGAACGAGAAATCCAAAATGCGTCGTTAGTTTGTTAACTTCGGCTCGCCACAACACTGGCACCGCAATTCGAATGGCAGGGCATTAGTGGGATGGGAGTACGGAATATAAACGTGGACTGTAGAATCTGAATCGACGTCCGGTGCATGAGTGGCCTGCAGCAAAATGGTGTGAGCCAAAAAAAAAAGTCAGAATTTTAATTCTTTTTTTTCTTTTCCATTTTATGATTATGTGTGTGTTGTCTGTGTCGACAGCACTTTCTCTCTTTTTATAATATTTCTTTTAAATTTGTCTGAATATTTAATGTATTATTATCTATTTTATTTTTAGTTTAATGCACTTAATATATTTTCTTTTTTAATTTATCTCATTATTACTTTTTTACATTTACCCATTTATATATAGGGGTATATTTGACAAAAAAAATTATATTTGTTACATATTAATTAATTTTAACTAATTTTAACTGCTTTCTTAAACTATGTAATTTAGTTAAAAGGATCTTATAATAAGAAACAGAGTAGTAGTTAAGAATTTAAGATGTCTTGATTAGATTGTTTTATTTATTCATCTAGATTTATTATTGTTGCTAATCATCTTCGTTTTGGGTTTTTAAATGTCAATCATTAATGAGTTAAGGTGCTTTGATCATACTTTTGTCTTTTCGAAATACTTAGATATCCAAACGCTTAGCTATTTTCATAAATTTCGGCCAAAAAAAGGTTAAGATTTTAAATTAAATTTATTATTTTATTAAACTATTGAAAATAATGATTGGATCTCTGATTAAAAGTTTAATGATTAAATCTATGTTAAAAACAATAAATTATTTTAACCCCAAAACTTTATCTTCAGTTACTGTTTAGGTGCTGATGAGATTGTAGGGGGGAAAAAGTTGATGATAAATAATTTCTTTGTAACAAAAACCTGTCATGCTTTTCCTGATATTTGAGAAGTGTAAAAAACATGAAGATTAAAATGATTTCTCTTGTTCTTTTTTTTTTCCCCCTTAACGTCTTCAAGTAAATAGTCAGGGCGCCAACGGATCAAATTTCGGTTATGCAGTGCCTTAATATGAGTATGCTTAATTAGCCTAATGCTGTATACAGAATCAGGTTAAGACGTAAGACAGTACTTGACGAAGGGCCATTAATTGCACGTTAAGAATTCTCTTAATGTTCTGACTTGGGTTTAAGATAAAGTAAATCTTGAGTGTTAATAAGCAAGGTCATCAACAGAGGAGAGAGAGCCTACAGTTTTAAATTGAAACATATTTTTTTTAAAAAAAATGGAACACGAACAATTAAAATTAAAGACAGAAATATTTATTAAAAATCAGTTCGTGGAGTATGAAAGTATTACAAAAGATAAAACTAAATGCAATTTTAATTTTTCAAAGAGAAATAGAATGTTCCAGCATTTTCTACACATTTAAATTAAAAAATAGATAATTGGCCCTAAAATTAACTATTTGTTTTATTAATTAGTAATCAATTAGATAGTGCCACGTCAACTCGCGGGGATAGCTCAGTTGGGAGAGCGTCAGACTGAAGATCTGAAGGTCGCGTGTTCGATCCACGCTCACCGCATCTTCCTTTTTAATCTTCCAATGATGAAATTCTTTTCCAAATTCCCCTTTCCTAGCTTTCATTCCCGAACGTCCAAACCGTTCGATTTTCGCTTAATTTTCACAAATCCGAATCGCCCTCCCTCAAACCCTGATTCTCCAATCTCCGTTCGATTTTCGGCTTCTATCTTGAAAAATTTGTACGGAATACCTCTTGATCTTTTAACTCTCTTCTGCTTCCGACGTCTCCATAAGGGCGATGGCTTCTAGAGGAGCAAACATGATGCTATCAAGGGCCAATAGGATAAAGACGAAGTTACAGTCAGCACTGGAAGCCACAGTTTTGGAGGTAGAAGACGTGTCGTACCAGCATGCGGGTCATGCTGCCATGAAAGGAACCTCCGGGCAGGAGACCCATTTCAACCTGAAGATCGTCTCCCCCAAATTCGACGGCCAGAGTCTCGTGAAACGGCACCGTATGGTCTACGACTTGCTCGCGGATGAGCTTCAATCTGGATTGCACGCCCTCTCTATTGTGGCCAAAACGCCTCAGGAAACCCCTGCCAAATGAAGTTTTTGCTTTAAACTGTGAGGGTTGAAAATTGGAATCTTTTGATTCTGTTTTCTGGTTATCTATTTGATTAGGATAGGGCAGATTTATGCCCATGTGCTTCGAGCCGTCAACAATCACCTGATGAACAAACGATCTAGTTTTCGATATTCTTATTGTTATGATAGTTTTAGACCTGAGTCTTCACTGTCTCCTATGTTTGATTTAATCTATCGTTATAACATTTTGGGAAGGATGGTCCAAAGTAGAAGGAAAATTGAAGTCTTTTGAACAAGAAGCAGCATTTCTTTTTTCCATTTTGGATGTTTGCATTAGCTTTTTTTGTTGTGTTGTCTGATTTCAATTTGCTTTGAATCAATCACGCACTTATTAGTTTTTGATTGAAATAAGTTACTATGCCTAAGTTGACTCCACTTTCTTCTGGATTATGCCGTAAATGAGCGATCAAACTTAACTCAGCACTGCATTTTTCTTTACTCAACTCTTAAAACTTAACTCAGCTGTCCCAAACTGTCTATCATGTGCCCAGTTTAGGTACTCTTTCGAGTGTTTTCTGTAAGAATCGAGGGAAGGAAGAACTTTTCTTAAGAAGAGGGAATTCTCGCATTTCACAATTTACTTTCTAATTTGTGCTAATGTATTTTCGTATTGTATTCCAGACTTGCGTGTCTGTCAGTGTTTCTGGACGACCTTTGTTTTCTAGACAGCATTTTAATCCGGCTTCCATGATTTTGCTTTTCCATTTCTTTGTCTTCCCTTCAAATGCTTTTCGTATGAGTTCATGTAATCATTCCTCGGAGTTTGCATGGTTTTCAAATATACAAGGGTCTGTTTGAAATCGCAAGGGAGAGTAAAAAGTACAGGAACATTGTACAAATGTGGCTGAACGGTGAACTATTTCTTTCATTTCCCTCCTTCATCTGCTTAAACCTCGTATAGGCAAAGTTTTTCTTTCATATGAGAGAAATAATCGCTTTCCCTTTCCTCCTTTGCAAATTAGCAAGGGTCTGTTGTTTGGTTAGCAAGAAAGAATGAAAAATGAATAATGACAACGAAATTGGGAGCTGAGAAGTGAGAACTTGAGAGGGTCGCGTGAGAAAGCATAGAATTGGGTTTGAAATTGGCTGATGTTGACTTGTTTAGTCTGAAATAATGGTTGGAACTCTTACATGAAGCAAACAGAATTCAAGCTTATGGACATATACTCACTTGTTCCCCCTGAGGAGTTCAATGTAAACCATGAAATTTCACCTACATAAGCTAAAAGAGTAATTTTAGTGACGTCGAGTTCAGTGATGATGAGAACTGGGGAAGCAAGTAGAAACGTGTTTTATTTGAAGGCCTTTGGGTAGTTTCTTAGCATAGCGTTCTTGTGAAGCGATGATCCCCTTCTTTTGATCCTTTTCATCATCCTTATTGTAGGATTGCCACTTGGGTGCGAATACCATACATACCCCTTCACTGCTACACGAAGAGGATCATCTGGAGACTTGGAAATATGATGGGCAATACCATTAAAGTAGATATGGACACCATAGCTAATATGGAGGATAGCATAACCAAGGTTGAACGAGGAGGTTTGGACGTATTTGCATCGAAATTGACTTGCAAAAGTAGTTTGTGCCTTGAGTTATTCGTGTGTCAGATCTTTTCAACGTGGAGTACGAAGGCTCAGGGCTCATATGTTCTGTTTCTTGGCAATATGGACATAGAAAAGAAGATTGCCCATGAAAAAGAAGCTCAAATTCAGTCTCTACATTGTCGGCACACCCAGCTGAAGCCACTACACCAATTAAATTACTTTGGGCTACTTCAAATAGGTCATCAAATTGAAATATGGTCTACTCTACCGAGGCATTCTTCCACGGATCACGTCGAAGTGTGCTGATGGCCTTGTTAAGAAGGCGCACGAAGGGAACACGGTTTTGTCCTTCCTGTGTTGTGTGGTTTTTACTACCCTCTTATTTAACCTTTTAAGCTTGATGCTTGCCTTTGTATCACAAAATGAAATAACGGCTCGAACTTGTCCTCCTCTTTCTGCTGCGCGTTTTGTGAAAATCCTTGAACTTGTATTGTTGAGGGCTGTGGGAGGAAATTATTTCCTAGATCCTTGTTGGAATTAGTTAAAATTAAAATGATTAAAACAAATCAATACTAAACACACAATTTTGTTTAAGACCAACTGAAAATTTTGTAAGAATGATTATTAATTGAATTTTGAATTTCTTATTAATTAATTTCATTCAAGCTTTTTCTCCCTATTAATTTAAGATATACCTTATTGGATATTTTTTTATATAATTTTGAATTTATATGATAATATTGTTTTATTTATTATTATTTGAAAAAATAAATAAATTTGCTTGAATTTATATGATAATATTTTTTATTCATTATTATTTGAAAAAATAAATAAATTTGCAGTCATTGTCAATTTGGATTAAGAAAAAGAAAGAATGCCATACCAACTTTTTTTTCCGGTGTATTATACCATCTTATTATACAGATACACAACAATTTTATCTTATATTTAACTTGAAATAAATTAGTTAAGTAAGTTGTTACTTTTAGAGGGTTTCTCTTAAATATTAAATTCACTTGTCATTTTCATATTTATTTATTTGTTTATTTTATGTCTACAATTAAGTTTTATATAACATGAGATATTTTTTTTTCTTTAAACACTTGACCTTAATAGTATTGGCTTTTTTTTCCTAATGTAGGTTAATCTCACACATACACAAACATATTTTTACTTGGTCTTTCTTTTGATTACTGAGATTTCATTTCACAAGATTATTCCTCCCAAATCATCCTGTTGTACCACTAAGAGAAAACTCAATCTGATTGTCTTTATTGAAAGTATATTAATGTGATGCGCCGAATTGAGAAACATGATATTAACAATATAGAGTGGTAGAAGAACTATTGGTACAATTATTACCAGCAATCTTGATCATAACTCACAAGATTGTTGAGGCAAGCTTAATTTAATGAAATTGGAAGTCTTAAGCTATTGATATCCATTATATTTTGCTATAATAGTAGACGTCTAATGACAATCATGATATGGCCAAGACGTTGCTCGATATCACTAAGATGATCAAATAATTACATCTCTAACAGCATGTGGCCGAAGAAGGCTCTGATACCATAACAATATATCACATTTTGTTCAAGAACTAGTCAATAATATAGTTGGGATATTAATACTTATGATTCTTCTAATTTAGGTTACTACTTGGAACTCATGTCTTCATAATTGCAAGTTTCAACTGCAATTTTTTTCTTAATGCTGTGAGAGTGATGCATCATCAAAATAACACCTCATCCTTGAAGCTTAAAATCCCTACCCACCAACTTACACCTCACAAGATGAGTATTTTTAAGTTATTATTGAACTTGGAATTTTCACACCCAATCTCCTCCAAAGATTTTTGAACTGTTTGCTCTTATTTAACTTCTTTAAAATCATTTAAGACGCCCTACATAAAGACCCTGATTTATTATCATGATATAATAAAAAATGTTTTTCTATTTTTTACTAGATGTGACTTTGACAACTGATGATAAAATTAGTGATGAGATCAGTAAAAAAAAAACTCGTTCTCAACATTCAAAATAAGGATATCATCAAAAGTGAGAATGTCACCAATATTAACCTGCCAATATCAGACATATCTAATGTAAATTTCTTCTATTTATAACTTACTTCTAACATGTTTCATTGATACCAAGAAAAAATTCCTAAACCTTGTTAGCTTTGTTTCACCTCAACTCTTGAAATGTGCTATTTGATCATATCATCATTGCAATGCTAAAATAGTACTAAAATAAAAGGAGAAAATATTAGATAAAAAAGTGATAATTGAAAATCATATTTTTAGAAAATTTAAATTATAAATAAAAAATTTTAAATAGGAAATTTAAATTTAATTAGTACATAAATATCAATTTCACATTAATTTTAGTACATATTAGATTAAATAATTTAAAAAATTTCCAATTAAATCCAAGAAAATTGATTAAATCTTTCTGTTCCCAAAAAAAAAAAAAAAAAAGAAACCATAGATCACATAATAATCCGTTGATCCTCAACCAAAACTACATTTTGATCAATAAATTATTCTTACATTAGTTTAGTTAAAATTTTATTTATTGAGTAAAACAAACACAATACCAAACACAAAAAATTTAAGATAAGCCTCACTAAATATTTTTTATATAATTCATATGCTCACATTTATATGTTAATAGCTATTTTTTATTTATTATTATTTAAGAAAATAAATAAATTTGCTCTCATCATGAGTTTGAATTAATAAAAAGGAAGGAATGCTAACGTGGTACTATAAAACAATACTTACATCAAGTTTTTTTATGTTTATATATATAAAACAATACTTACATAAAGTTTTTTATGTTTATATATATTAAAATTTTCAATCATAAATAATCATGTGTTCTATTTTTAAAATATTATTATTTAATTATAAATATACATAAAAAATAAGCTATAATAAGTATAAAAAACTTGACCTAAATATTTTTTATTAATAAACTTTTCTTCATATTTTTTATTTTAGTCTTACTTTAGTGAAATAAATTAACTAAATTAAGTTATTTAATGGCTTCCAAAGATTGAATCCATGTGTCATTTTTATACTTATTTATTTATTATCAATAACTACATTTTATATAACGTGAGATATTTTCCCTCACATCCTCAACCTCAGCATTTTTTTTTTCCTTTTAATGCAAGTTAATCCCACCGACATTCTCCTTTTACCATTTTTAATTAGCTACTCACATAAAGATTGAAAGTTAAAAATAGATGCAGTCACATTTTCGTCTATGAATCACTTTTTCAATACTAATATCACAAAATGAAAATATTATAACGCTATTGTTTCACTTCTGTATAATCATGACAAATATTGAGAGGCGTTTCAACCAAAATAGTCCATAATAGTCTATAATAGGCCAAAACTATAGGTGAAGGGAGACACTTTTCATACCCTTAGAACTCTAACATGTTATATAACTCTATATTTGCTACACCACTTAGCAAAAGAGAAAGGAAGAAAACCACCCACGATTATTTTAAAGACACCAAACTCATGGAATAAGGAAACACTAAACAAGGCAACTGCTTAGAACTCACATCTACATGACTGCAAGCTTTCAACACAATGTTTTTTTCAATGTAGTAAAAGTAGACTTCATCTTGCAGCATTATCATTAGCACCCCATCTTTGAAGCATAAAAGCCCTATCCACCAGCTTACACCTTGCAAAACGAGTTTCTTCAAATTGTCACTAAACTCGGAATTTCCACACCCAACCTCTTCCAAGGACTTCCAAGCCTTCTGTCCCCATTTAGCTTCATCATAGTCTTCAAGAAACCACACATGAAGACCTTGTTTTGTTATCATGACATAGTGAAGAATCCCCTTCCATTCTCCAATACATGTGACTTTGAATTCTGGGAATGAAGTTGGTGGTGAAATTACTAAAGAGGACTCCTTATCAACATCGAAAGTGAGAACATCATCAAAAGTAAGGAAGTCACCAATATCAGCCTGCCAATATAAGACACCCTCAATGTAAATTCCTGGGACATTCTCCGTTACCTCGTGATTATAAAGGCAGTTTGCTTTTGATCTTTTCCATGATTTTGTTTCTGACGAATATATTTCAAAGTATGTATGGAACTGTATCTCATCTTCATCACTCTCAACTGCATCTTGCTTGACTCTTACCAATTTGAATTTGGTAGAGATGTCTACGTGGTCTTTGTAAGGGTCAAAAGCCAACGCAAAACTTCCAAACCTGTCAAAATCAGGACAATCCAGAGGAATCCATTGTTTGTTCGTTGGGTTGCAAATGTAAAAAGTTGTTTTCGTAGGACAAGTCATGAAGCCACAACTACGACAACATATAAGACCGTTGCATGAAGACAACACAACAACATCTTCAGGAAGGAAACTAAAGACATTGCGGTGAACTACAGATTTTGGTCTTCTGTTGTGATTATCATGACGATGATCGAAAATGTGAATGTTTATATAACTTTGGCCTTTCAGATCTTCATCAGTCCACATCTTCTCCTGAAAAATGAAACCTGATAGGGCCAACTCCGTCTTCTCTATCTGAGCTTTAATGAACAGGCGATCAGTAGAAATAGATTGACAGTATTCCTTAGAAACACACTTGAAACCAAGCAAAGTCTTCGCTGGAAGATGAGATAGAACATTTAAGAGCTTGTTCGTGGTCAGTGAGTCTTGAAGCTCCATTTCCTAAAATAGCGGCAGAAAAAAATTATAACAGATTAAGTAGTTCAATATTCAGTTGCTTCAACACAATATTCCCATGTTTGCCTACTCTTTCTCGCCAACCAAACAGGCCCATGGATTTGAAAGGAAAGATTGCTAGAAGTCAAGTGAAACGTGTTTAAACGGGAGAAAATGGGAGGGAAAACCAACCATTTAAAAGGCGGTTTAGAACACAGAGTTCAAAAACATCATAAAACGCTGAAGAAAAAATTAGAAGTGAGATTAGACCAGCTATAGCTGGGTCTAAAACCTTAAATACCCAAACTATCTTCTTTCTCTTTTTCTGCCAGACAAACCAAGACTGATTTGCCTTCATCAAATCGAATTGGTTTCAGAAACCACACAGATTAAAGAAAATGATTGCCGAAAGCGTACCTTCACTTCACACTTCTTTGTTTACCCACTGTTTCTTGCTAACCCAACAGCTTCCTTTCACTGATAAGCACAAAATGGGCGTATATAAATAAAAATACGGAGTGGAGAAATGGAAATCCAAAAAGTCACCAGAACGTTACCGTCAGAATCGCTGAAGACTTACCGAGCGGGAACGAAGAGGGAGAGGTGGGAAGGGATTTTAACCGACTCTTGCAACTTTTAGAAGATTCTAGCGAGTCACTGAACCGGTTAAGACAGTGGTTGAGTAAAGTAATTAGAGTTAGATGACTGATTTTTTTCTCGCATTTATTGCGTCTTAGAGAGATTTAAACTCACAACCTTATATTTAAAAAAATCTCACAGCACTTGTTTAGTCAGATTCAATTTAATCATAAGTAAAATAATATAATTTAATTAAAATTTATAAAAAAATATTTATACATTTATACATAATTTTGAAAGAGAATGTAAAATAGGGAGAATGATTAAGATTAATATAATCTTGGTTCCTTAAATTTATTTTTATTTTAATTTTAATTCTTCAAATTTTAAATTATAAATTTTGGTCTTTCAAGAAGTAAAATAGTACAAGTATTTATTAGATTATAAGAACTAATGTTTTAAATAAAAAAAATTCAAGAAACCAAAACTAAAATAAGAACAAACTTAAAATATCAAAGTTTGTATTAACTCAAAAAAATGATTTTTTTAATATTAAGGACAGTATCGAAACCAAGTTTTTTAATTATATTTATTATGTCAATTATTTGTCCTGTTTTTAAAAATATTTTTTTCAAAGTAGGCAAGGCAGGCGGGGATTGAACTCTGATAAAGGCCACCAATAGACGACTATCATGCTAGTGTACCACAGAGACGCTGGCCTATTTTTAAAAATATTATTATTTAATAAACTCATAAAAAAATTAGATACATGACTATATGTAATTGAAAAATATTTTTTATTATGTTTAATAAAAAAAATTAACATAATAAATGTAAAAAAATTTGCTGAAATATTTTCCTAATATTAACTTATAATAAAATTAGAAATATCCTTTATCATTAACATATTAAATTGTATCTATTTCACTTTCAAATGCATTGACCAAGAAAGCTCGGGACATGGCTACCGGGACTTTCCCTTGCAAGGACAGACTAGAGTCCTTCCTTCGTCTTGCAGTTTTGACAAAGAAAGCAACCTGCCTGGTGGTTTTATTGTTATTGCTTCTTCTTGTTGAAAAAGAATAATTTTTTGGGTATTAATAAGAACATTATATAATTTTTTTGACCTCCTGAGACGCAATTTTCACTTCAAACCTTATGCCATAAATGATTTCACACAGAGGCATGATCGTGTTTTCTTCTTAAATTATTTTTGCTTCAAAAATTTTCGGGAAGATGTAATATTTGCCAAAAACATTAAAATATAATCTTATTAAAATTTAACATCAAAACAAAAAACAAAGGATATGAAAGACTGTCAAAGACACAAAATGAAAATTATCGATTATAAGTTGAAACTTTTTAATCTCAAATAAAAATATTTATTATTATTATTTTTTGGGGTAAATTTCTCGCGCGTCTTCCGCCATCATTCTTCCCCATGATCTCCTTCGGCCTTTCCGCAAGATCCTTCGGCTGTGTTTGGCGGCAAGTTTTTTTTTTTGTTTTTGGGTACTTGGCGGCAAGTTTTTGAATTTGAACGACGAGGGACTATTTTGGTCCGAAAAAATTGAAGATAAATTTGGACCGTTTGACAAAGGGGAGGCAAAATTTTAATAAACCATGTGTCTCTCTTTTCCTTTGATCTTCCATCCAGTCCAAAATTAGTGTTTTGAGAGGTGCAGCTCTTGCGACTAGAATAGTAATCTTTTAATTTTTTTTTGTTTTTGTTAAACGTGATAATCTCATTCAAAAAAAGTACAAAATTTTTGCAAAGCTTTGCTTGGCATCATCAGAACCCAACTCCAAAAATATTTATTAATTTTATATTGCGATTTATATCTAAAAACTAAAAATGCCCATGCTACACCCACGTTGAGTGTGTTTGGGATCACGGTGAAGGTCTTCAAACTGACTTCTCCACTAGTAAAGCTGAAAAAGTAACTTCTTGTTTAAAATAGATGTTTAGATTTACAATGAAAATAAATAGACTTATATGGGAAATGGATTTTTTTTCATAAGCTGCTGCCTTCAACTTCTCTGCTTTCAGCTTTTCCGTCTTCCTGCCTGCAGCTTCTCCACTACACACTTCGTGGGGCCCATGAGTGAGGGAGGAGAGAGAATACATTATGTGAGTTTTTTTTTTTTAATCCACCCATTAGTTTTTAGTATTAAAAAAATTATCTTTTGAATAATAAAATCATTTTTTTAAAATAAAATTATTTATTCTTTAAAAAAAACTATTTTTATATTTATAATTAATTTTAATTTTTCTCTGACAATTATCACATTATAACTATATAAAATAATATATATTGTTTAATAAAGTTTATGTCATTTTCAATCATTTTACATCAAATTTACTTTTACATTTATCATTCAAACAAGTTTCAGTTTTTTAAACTGACTTTTTTTCAAAACCCAATCCAAATATAAATCACATTACCCTATCTAACTTTTACTCAATCTCACTTCTGTAAAAGTCAGATTGAAAAAAAAAAAAAACAACTTCTGCTACCGTTATCCAAACACATCCGTTGTTCTTGTTTTAGAATGCAGGTGAGAAGCTCAAAAGTAAAAATTGATTTTTGGACTTCTAAAAACAAGTTGAAGCCAAAAATTCTAATGTTTGGGATGACTTAGGGGATGTTTGGATGGAAATCAAATCATGATTTCAAAAGTACTTTTATAATTTATAAAGTAAATATATAAAGGAGTTTGTCTCGTTTTACAGAAAATTATTTCTGAGAAGTACTTTTAAGGGTTACCAAACACCCTCTTGGAACAATGACTTTTTGTCCATAAATCACATTAGAGTTGAAGTAGCTTTTTATTTTTTCTGCCTCGGAGTTTTTTAGATTTAAACATTCTGAAATTAATTTTTTATATACCATTTAAATAAATTCTTTTAATATGAGTCTATTAAAAAATTTTCTCCATCTCCTCCGATTTCTTTACACCAAATATAGGGTTAAAGTCTTTTGAAATAAAAATTAGGTTTGCAAATGTTAATTCAACAAACACCAACAAAAAGTATTTTCTAAATATATAACACTTGAAAGTACTTTATAGCTCTTTTACTACCTAGAAATATTTTCTTTCAAATATGTCTATTATTTTAATTTTAAAAATACTATAAAATATTTTAAAATATCAGTCATGCTTAAAAAAATATTCACGATCTTAAACCTACCCTAACCCTAAACTCTTTCATAAATTTGTTCGCGGATCACATCAGTTTAATGCAAGGACAAGACAAGGCTCAAAGTAGGGATGACATGCTCAATACCTTAGCTCCCCTGTTTGAAAGAAATAGCTTCTGGCTAATACGGTCCTTTTTCTCCCCGTATAGTCAAGGCGTCCGCATTCAATGCTCATAAGGTGATGAACACCCTAATAAACAATCTGAGTTGTCCATATCTAATTTGAATGGTTTAGATTTAATATTTTTAAATAATTATTTAAAAATAAAAAATTATATTTTAAAAAATAATAGTTAAAAAATTATTTTTATTTTTTATCGTATGCTTATTAAAATAATTATTTTTTAAAAAATAAAATTAAAATTAAATTTGGATTGTCCAGATTAGATCTGGACAATTCAGATCTGATGAGTATTGGGTGCTCATCAATTTAAAATTGATGAGAGCACCCAATGCAAATCCTATAGTCAAGGGAGTCTAATATTTTATATAATTATTTCTTTAATTCTATTTATAAAAGCGAGAAGACTATTTTTTAATATAAGTTAACTTATTACATTTTTATGTGAATATATAATTTTATTCTTAATTTATTATTTATAAACTGTTGATTTTTTAAAATTATATGTAAAATTAAAAAGTTATTATATTTTAAGATAAAATTAACAAGGTTTAATATTTTTTTTAATTTTAATAAAAATGTTAAAAATACATTATAAATACGATAAATGAAGTATACTGGAAGAATAACCATTGAAAATCATATTTAAAAGGTTTTAAATTAAAAATATAAAAGTTTGAATAATAAATTAAAAATTTAAGTAGTACATAAGTCTTAATTCCAGGTTCGATTTAGTATGCAACCTTTTGCAAAGTATTAAATTGATTATTGAACTAATTGAGATATTTTAAAAATAAAACATGTATAATTAGAAAATATGACAAAATGAATATAAGGAGCTTGATTCTAATAAAAAAAATAAAAAGTTTGAGATAAGTCTTCAATAAAAATAAAAATGTAAAAATAAATGCCAGATAATAATAAATACACA